TGAGCCCCCCCAGCTCCCCCAGCCGCTCCTCCCCAGCCTTGGGCTCCAGCCCCTGCCCCAGCCTCGCTGCCCTGCTCTGGCCACGCTCCAGCCCCTCCATGGCCGCCTTGGGGTGAGGGGCCCAGCGCTGAGCACAGCATTCGAGGGGCGGCCTCACCAGTGCCCAGCACAGGGGGACGATCCCTGCCCTGCTCCTGCTGGCCACACCATTCCTGTTATTCACTGGAGCTACACTACGGTGGAGCTGTCTTTGAACTTTAAAGTAGTTTTGTCTCACTTTGGGAGTGGAAAGATGAATAATGTTGTACTGCCCGTGAGGGATACTGTGAAAAAGAAAGGGATTGATGTGTGTTCACCTGCTTTATTGGACCGGATGCCAAAATTACTTCTTTCTTGGGCTGTTTGCTTTCAGGCACAGTACAGGTAGCTCTACAGGTCAGAAGCTCTATCTTTAAAAAAAAAGAAAATAAAAAAAACAACTAGATGCACTGAAAGCCTAGCAGAATATTATGGAGATGTACATTTCCAGTGCGAGGGGGATCTACACGATCAAGTCAGACAAGAGGTGCAAACTCACGTCGGGACGGGAACACGGATGCCGCTGCAGGGCTGATGCGGTAAGCCAGCCCTCGGGCTGTGCTGTGCACCGTGCAGGCCTGGCGGCGATGCTCAGTTTGCTGTCGTGGTTAACGACATGCACTGCTCCAGAGCAGCACGCGTGTCTCCACCTGCGGTGACCTTGTGCCGCACGGTGATGGGGGGGGGGGGGGGGGGAGGACGCGATTTCTTTTGATGTGCGGGAGCGGTGAGCCCGCTGGCCTGAGCGGAGGGTGCAGCCCCCCGCAGCGTCCTGCCTCTGCCAGGGGTGGCCAGCAAACTCCTAAAAGGGAATTGGAGAGGGAGAGCTCAGGTGTTCACCGCTCCTGCCTCACCGCGTGCAGCCTCATGTCCCCTCTTTTTGGACAAGCTGCTGCAGTTGCAGTTTGTTCTAGGCTCGTGCCCTGAGCCTTGCCTCTCGTTCTACACGCCCAAAATTTAAGGATCTCTCTAGTGCATGCTTTCACATGCTTTCACAAGTACATAGCAACAAATAAACTTTTGCCAATACTGCAGTCTGCTGGGAATGAGATCTAAGATAGTAGCACAGACTCTCTCTGTGGCAGGTTTTTGGTAGCACTTGCAGACAGGTTGTGTTCTAGTTCCTATGGGGATGGCAGCTGTAATAGATAGGCTGCACACCTGACACCGAGGAGTGCTGCGAGGGATGAGCGCTGGCCTGTCTTGCAGGTCTTCAGAAGGTGCAGTTGTCCTCTCTTCTCTCCCTCTTCCCCGCACTGCAGAGGACACTCGGCTTCAGAACTTCGCTACGGCTCTCCAGGGGTGGCTCTCCTCTCCTCTCCGCAGCGTGTCCTCTGGGCAACGCGGGCAGGGCTACTCCCTTTGGGTGATGCCCTTGTTCCTCTGCCTCTCTGTATTTCTGGCTCTGTTCCTTTACCACAGGTCTAGGTGTGTGTAAGGTGGTACAAGAGTAGCCTGGGTGGCCTCACGTATGTCTGTGCCAGTAACCTAGAGCGGGCTGGGACACGGGCACAAGCCTGGCTGTGATGGCGTGCTCTGTTAGGTAGCTGGCATGCTTTTCACCTGGTTTTCCCCTATGCCAGCGAGCATTTTCCTATCCAGCGCCAGGACACGAGTCGAGGCAGGGGACAGAGATCCTTCCCTCTGGGCAGTATGGACCAGGTTACCCTCCTTGGGGAGGACGAGGGCTTAGCTGCACGGGTGTAAGCCACGCTGTGCCATTTGCCTGTCGGGGCAGAGATCAGGCCCTAGCATGTTGTGTTTAATAGTACAGAAATGGCTTTCTGTTTAATAATACAGAAATACAGATTAAATGCTTCTTGCATGAAATTGAAGAGCTGATTCGCTAGGTGTCCTTTCAAGTCTCGTGTTCCCCCTTGGGTTTCAGTCATTTGGAAGGTGTTCCTATGTGGAGTTTAATGAGAATTATCCCTGGGATCCCAGATGACATGGCAGGGCACTTCAGTCACAGAAAACAAGCTCCTTTCCCCTTTTTCAAAACACTAGCATTTCAAAAATTACTCCTCTCGGGTTTAGATTTTCACAGAATGTAACCATAAAAATGCCTCGCGCTGTGCAACGGGGCGGGGGAGAAGGCAAAAATATTTAAGTATGGCTTAGCAATATCCAGAGAATTTAAAAAAAAACAACAAGTCTTTATGATGACAACAAAAAGTTGGCAGCTTTTGATAGCTTGTAAGGACTTTTGGGTAAATATTTCATGATCTTTCTGTTAAATCCCAGAGAACTCCATGAATTCTTCTTGCAAGAGCATTTTATTTTTTTAAAAAGTATGTACCAAAAGAAGCCTAAGAGGAGTTGGGATGCTGCAGTTCATTTCTGCTTGACAATCTCCAGACTGAACACTTTCTCTTTTCTTTTGCAGGCCGTGTATATGTTTTATGCTTTGGCAATTGTCTGCGATGATTTCTTTGTCCCTTCGTTGGAAAAAATTTGCGAAGTAAGTATTAGAAGGTGTTAGTTAAGCTTGTGTGCTGCCTTAGCAGCAGTTCTCCTTGAGAGCCTCAGGAGGTGATCATAGTGTATTTCCTATTGTCTTAGAGCGTTCCCCGAGCTTCTGGTTTAGTTCTCGATGCCGCGTGTGTGCGTTGGCTCAGCTTTGTGTTCTCACTCGCAGGAGATGGGCTGGGAGTCTGCTGGTGGGTAAACTTGGCTGACGCTCCCTCTTAAAGCTAGCGGTCACCTCTCAAGTAACGATTCCTATATATGCATCGTACCACTTCTTAAAAGTGGAGGCAATGTATAACATAGTGAAAAACACGTTCTCTAGAGCAGTGATTCCTAAACTCAGCCCCACGCTGCAGGCTCCCCAGCGGTGCTAGCTGCAGCACAGGTTTCCAGGTAATAAGCCCAGCAGAGCTTGTTAGCTTGTCCTGTGCTCTGCCGCTTGCTGCTGACGTGCTCACGCCTCTCCGGCTGAGAAACCCTGCCCTCGAGGTAGGATCCAGCCGTCGGAGAGCGAGAGAGGGTTGGGATGTTGTTCGTTGCCCATGCAGGGAACAGCGCTTTGGTTTGGTTATGGCTTTGGGCATGTCACTTGGTTCTCCTGGGACTTGGAAGATGATAACCTTTTATTTCTCATCTTTTGCGTGGAGATATTGATCCATGGGGTGTTTCTGAGTTTTATATACCATTAACTTAGAAACCTTCTAAGCAACAGGCTGGGAAAGAAAAAATGCACAAGAGAGTTAGGAGGTGTTGGCATTTAAAAACAAAACCAAAAAAACACCCAGGGGAGGGAGAGATGCCAAGCTCTCAGCCAGCTGCCTGAGAGCTGGGTCCTGCCCCGCGTGTGGCCCTGGCCCCGTGGGACCGGGGGGCTGTGCCTCCCAGCTGCTCCCACTGCCCAGCTGGTGAGGACCTGCACGCCGCTGGGGCATTCTTCCCCGCCCCCGGGCCCAGCCGCTGGCAGGGAGTGCTGCCTAGCCAGGATAGCACTGCCCCGAGCAGACCCGTGCAGATGTTCAGCGTGCTTGCCTCCTCGGGCCTTTCGGCTTTGCTTGTGCGGTGCCCAGTGGAAGCGTTCACAGGCTGACAGCTCTCCAGGTACCCCGACCGTTCATGCTGTGATAGCTGCTGTTGCCTCGTGTTTGTGTGTCTTTGTAGATGTCTCTTCAAAAACACTAGGTCCTACCCTTAGCTGATATAAATTAAAACCTTTGGTGATTTACCTCAGTAGAAATCATGGGTCTTGTACCTTGCCTTCAAAGTCATGAGTTGCATACCTTGCATTGTGTTGGTGTAAGTTGTAAAGCAGCAGGGACAGCTAGGTCAGCTGTGAAGAAGCTCCTGAACACTTCCAGCAATTGCAAGGGACTCTGTCCCTCTTTTGCTAAGGTTGGCATGCTGAAATTTTAGAAGACAAGGAGTACATTTTAGCCTGAATCTGCTCGGACAGCTACAGGGTGAACACAGACCATGTGCCCGAAGTGACTGTGAGCCCTCTCAAATGTCAATCTCAAGCAATGAAATCTTTGCATGTAGAAAATACGGTTTGGTCTTGCCAGTTAGACGTCTCTGTCAGCTGGAGGAGACGCCTGCCGATCTGCCTGGAAATAAGTGTCGCTCATCAGCGCACGGGCTGCCCCAGCCCTGGCAGGAGGTGTGGGAGATGGCAGGAGAAATCATTTGTGCTGACAGCTCCGATGGAAGTTGTCTCTAAACTAACCAATGTTTATGGTTCAGCACCCTGCCATACGAGCCTTTTTCGCATCATCACAAAAAAAAAGTCCCCAGGAAATCCCACTATTCTGGTGCATAAGTATTCAGGTAGCTGAATACTTGATGTGGAAGTGGGGATGGGAGATGGTGGAGATGTAGACATGCTGAGTTACTTAACCTCCCCTCTCCCGAGCAAGGGAACCCCGCTGGGGAAGGTGGGTCTAGAAGGCCAGCTCAGGTCACTGTAGATGAACGAAACCTGAGCTGAGTGAGCAGCGTCCAGGACAGGCTTGTATTTTGGGGTGCCATCGATATGCCCAAGGGCAGGCCTGCCACCCAGAGGGACACGGGTGGAGCCAGGAGATTGAGGGAGGTTGTTATTTCTCTTGGCTGAGCACTCATTAAATCCCATCTACAAGTGTGTTTTGATTAGTGGCCTTACTTATGGCACAGAGGTCTGATCTGGGCCTGTGGAGCACTAGCTCCTGTTAGGGCTCTCCCATGGACTCCCTGAGTGACCTCGGACAAGCTCCATCGCTTCGCCGCACCTCTGTTTCCTGCACTGGTCAGTAGAAGTGTTGGTCCTCGACTGTGTTTACAAATCGTGATAGGAAACACCATGCACGGTGTTAACGGTTTCTAACTTTACTGGTGGTAAACTTAGTTATTGTAAACAAGAGGCTCCCAGACTGGAGAAGTCCCTCTCCTTTTACTGTCGCTAGCTTTCTGTAGGTGCAGGATCTGTGCATCTCGCCACCTGCCCCAGAAGGTTGGTTATAGAGGTGTAAGTGTCAGAATTATGGTGCTATTTGTTCTCCTGACAAATTCTCAGATGTGTTCGGGTTTGTACAGACAACTGAAGCCTAAAAGGCGAGCACCCTCCCCCTGTGACCTTAACACGGTGTTTACAAGCCCCCTGGGTCCTAGAAGGCTACTTACGCTTGACCAGATCTTTACTGTTTGGTTATCTGTTGTCTTCTCAATGGTACATAAGAACTCCTCATGTGCTTTAGCTCTTCTGAACCATTGTGTTACCCAACACCACCAATAAACACCAATAAAACCACCCAAACCACCAATAATAACAAGTTTTATTCAATTGTGTATGAAAGAGAAAACTTAGCAATAGAACGCTAGATCTAGCATATTTGTATTAGGAAGTTACTGTCCAGAAGAAAGATACTGTGTCATTAACGACTATCAAAATAGGTCACGTAAATGGATCAGAATTTTACTATTCCTACTGCTTCTACTTGATTCTCTCCCAAAAAAGTTTTTTCTCACCCCACAGGTGACCTTTGGGGGCATTCAAGTCCTTTTATTTATGTATTTTATGCATAATTAAGCAGTTCTGTAATTATATGATAGCAAAAGAAGTACTCATTCCTCTTTCCTGATCCAACTACTTTTGATTTTATCAGTCCAGAATGGCTTGTCTTCAAAACATCCAGCTTTTCGTGGTTTGTCCTTGATGTTAGCACTCAAGAATGCATGGGAAAAGGCTCGGGTCACTTCGCAAAGGCCACTGCAGCCTCTGGTAGTATCCACTCTTGCCTGTTTTTCTAGGAAAGGGAAGGTTTTGTTGCTGCCGGATGACAGCAGATGCTACCACTGTTTCTCACACCAACCAGTACTCTCCCCACATAACGACCCTGTGAAATGAGTAGACCGACTTGGAGAGCCAGGGAGGCTGCTTTGTGAGGGAGAAGACCACCTGAGTCTTCCTCCATCACCTGATGAGATAAGACCCGTGATGTTTTCAAGGGTGTTCACTTGTTTGTTAATGCACAAAAAATAATCGAGAGAGGGAGGGGGGAGAGAGCCCCTCGCAGGAATTCACATCCAAGAGGTTGGACTGGGTATGGCAGTACATGTAATGCGCTTACCATGCAAGCAACCGTAAACGGTCATGACTTGCTGCTGACCTAACATCAGTAATCCAACTACCACCTACTGTTGTATCCAGCAGAAAAGAATTCACGCCTCCTGCCTGAAGGCTTTTTTGGTCTTGGAGATCAACCAATGGTTATTCTACAGTTGCTCACAGTTTAGATGCGCTAATTCTAAAATAAATGCCCTTGTTCTGGCTTGGCTTCATCTAGTTTGGAAAGCGGTTCTTGAGTTAAACCAACAAGGCATTTGCACTCCCAAATGTGTGTATCGAGATGAGAATTTGTTCCAGAACACTTGCTATGGTAGACGTTGACATTCTGACTTAGTTCAGATGTGCTTACAATAAAGCCCTGATTTTCATTTGTTTTCTAAACCAGCTTGTACTTGCATTTGCCTAGCTGCTCTCTGTTACTGGTGTTACAGTGTTTACATGACGCAACTAGTGTCATACGTCAATTGCAAACATTTGTCTGCAAATACCAGAAAATACATTTTTGCCTCCTACAGAGTGTGCTGTATTTTCTGCTCTATTGTATTCACTTCATCATCATATGCATTGCAATAAATTGTCTGGGAACTGTCCTCGAGGGAACCTACTATAGCTTTAAATTAAACCATCCCCACGGAAAGTCCAGCACAGCTGGTTTCCTTGGCTGATGATGGCCTTTTCTTGCAAAAGGTACCATCGAGTTGCAGACTGACTATTGTAGGATGACTGTCTCTAGATTTCCATAGAGAATCCTGTGGAAGAAACTGGCCTTTGGGGATCTGCTTCTGATCCTATGAACTTCTTCTACAATAGTTTTAATCCTATTTAAAATCATTTTCCATAAAGCTGTGTTTAATCTGGTTCCACAAGCTTTTATAGCAGTGCAGCGATGCTGTGGTCTCCTGCTTAAAAAGCATTCCCGGTGAGGGTAGATCTTTCCCTTTTTCCTTGTCCCCATAACATACGTACAGAATTTTTTGGTTTATGTGTATGGTCAGTGGATGGAGTTACCTTCTCTTACAGGCCTAGAATATCCTTTGTGGGATCTTCAGTCCAGATAAGGTTGGTGGGGGGATTTCTGCTATCCTTGTCTCTGTGCAAATGTACTTTGGTAACCATAAAGTTGCAGGGAAGCCCTGCACCGCTGCAGAGGGAAGAGGGGAGAAGAGGGCTCCCTCCGTCCTGCCAGGCTGGGTGTGCTGCTTCAAACAGCTGGTTCTGCCAGGGCAACGTCCCCGCCACCCTCAGCTGTTTTCCCCTTGCTCGTACAATGGCAGCCGCTGCCTCGCACGCGTGCGAGCAAGCCAGCTTTCTGTAGTAACAGCTCAGCAGTTGACGGCCGTATGGCAGGGGGTGGCTTTTTTTAGCTACTCGTTAAACCGTGGAAGGTGCCAGCAAGGCATGTGGTCTTTAACAGCCTTGTTGCATTTGCCGAACGTGACTTGTGCAGATGGAGCAGTGGGAATGCAGAAAACATAAAGGAAGTAATTAACCAAGTATATCTTTGGAAACGGCATATGCCGATGAAGTTTTCATAGAGTAGTGGATCCTTTCCCTTCCAGAAACCCCCGTTTTAGATAGTCCCTGGGCACTGCTAGGGGAAGGCTGTAGGAGGTAAGTGTCTTCAGTGGTGATCCAAGTGAAAAGGGGTGAGGAGAGGTTAAATGTCCAAGGCTGAAATGATACCAGGGGAGGCGGCTGGGGGTGAACCAAGCCTGAGCTTCAGCCCTGCCCTTTACAGGCCAAAGGAGATGAGATAAGGCGTGTGTTGTTGGGGTGACGGAGGAGACAAAGAGCTGTGACTGGTGAAACTGCCTCGCTGTTGTCCGGAGTACTGCTCTTTCTCTCCTCTGTAAAGGGTATCACAGCCACAACCTGCCCTCTCTACAAGGAGGTGCTAACCTAAGTAGCCAATGCCTGTGGTGACTTTTCCCCCTATACTTAAACTTTATTAACATAAAACTTTATGCATATTGGCAGTTTCCCACTCTTGGCGGACAGTTCAATGGTTCTAGTTGAATTGCTTCAGACTCTCAGTGTTGTAATCAATGACTCTGATGTGTTTTTCTGCAGCGCTTGCATCTTAGCGAAGATGTGGCTGGGGCAACTTTCATGGCAGCGGGAAGCTCTGCTCCTGAGTTGTTTACATCTGTCATAGGTAACTAACCTGCTGCTGCTTCTTGAAACCTCCGCGTTTCCCTGGCTGTTTTTCAGAGTTGAAATGGGATTGCTAAGCACCTGCAACATTGGTTACGATACCTGGCCCTTCCCTCACGGGCACACATAGGACTAACTGGGGGGAATCCTCGCTAGATGAAGCGGCTCTGAAAAAGTGCCGTTATCCCACAGCAGGGCTGCCTTGGAAGCGGTTTGGTCTGATGCCGTCGAACCGGGGCCAGCAGGCAGTTCACCTTAGCTGTCCGTTAGTCTGCCTCGCTGCAGCACAGCCAAACGGCGCAGCGCTGAGCTCTGCACGCGCAGCCTTCTCCCCTCCTGTCCGCCCCCTACGCTGTCTGCCACGCCGTCCCCAGGACATAGCGTGGAAGGATGCACCTCCAGCCTCCAGGGCTGGTACCCAGGCGAACTCGTTTGTGTCCTCAGCTGCAGGTTCTCTGCCATCACCTCTGCTCTGGTTAGTCTTCTAACACCACTTCCCTCTGGGAAAGCCAGAGTGGGGAGGAGAAGAGGATTTGAAATGCTTTCTCACAGCAGCAAGTTGGTCAGAGCATCACACTGCCAAAGCAACTCTCCGCTTATGGGAAGTGTGATCAAGGGATTCAGCAGTCCTTAAGCCTGTGAAACCCAGGAAACTTGTGTGGTCCTTCAACAGCCTTGAGCTAAGAGGGGACCGCAGTCAGCTGTTATAAAATGATGCTGTACGTATGCTACCTGGCGCAAGGGGAAAGTGTTCTTGCGCTTTTACTCAGCCACGTCTCTATCGGTAGGTGATCATCAGAGCAGCAGTTGGGAGGTTAAGGTGGGCTCTCCGTCACTGAGGAGAATTATTCTCAGCTTAGATACTTTCTCTAGAAGATATTTCTATTTCAGTCACAGCTATCAGATGCAGAGCACAAATTAATTCACGCAAGGCTGCATACTCTGCAGAGATGTCCGATTACACAAGCAAAGCCTCAAAATGTAGGAACTTAAATTGGATGAAACTGGGATTGTATTCCAGTTAAGGACAGCGCAGTAGCAGGGTGAAAATAAAACCAGGTTCCTTCAGGCAGCTTAGAGAAGCCCTAACGGTCAGATCATTACCTCGCTGTGGTGTAATCCACCAGATACGGAGTGTCACTTGGCAGGTGACTGCTTCTGTGTAACGTGTTTCTGAGAAAAGGATAAAGTGGAAAAAAAGATGTCCGAGCTACACTGGCTGGACAAATACTGTTGGAACCTTAAAAGCAAGAGGTGAGTTTAAACAGACTGACAGCTAGCAGGAGGTGGAGGTTATTTTCAGGCTGACTTCCTAAGGAAAGAATTCTGTGCAGTTCCATGAGGCATGTGTCTGTCCGTTCATCTCCCTCACCGTTAACCTCATTGGCCAATTTTAACCAAGTTTGACAGAAGAGCTCTGAAAGGAGCTCGTGATGCAGCCCCATAACTCATCCTGAGAGGCATCATTCAGCTTGCAAGTAGCTAGTGGCCAGGCAGCGGGGAATTGGCTGCAGCTCAAGCTTCTGCTTGCCTATGGAAGCCGGCAGGGACGGGGATGTGGGGAGGCGCAGAGTGCTGGTGAGGGGATGTTTTACGGGAGATAGTTTCCTGCAGATTTGTGTCCGACCAGCTGCTCCCCCGGAGCTTGCTGCCTTTTATGATGGGTATTGCTGTAACGTTGGATCGCAAGACCAGGAGGTTGGTGACTTAGACATGTCTAAGGTATTTTGGTTTTCATTAGACAATCTATCCAGGTTCCCTCAGAAAGCAAGTTCTGACACCTTTATTTGCCCTAGAACCGTTCTCTGAAAGTTGCCCTATTAAATATGAGAAAAAGTGGCAGAACTGGTATGTACCTTTACATGCATGAATGGGGTGTGAAGTCTGCAATTTTTGGTGGAAAAATCTTCCTCTTGCCAATTTACACAGCTTGCCTTGAACTTGTTTTTCAGGTGTTTTTATCACAAAAGGAGACGTAGGCGTTGGAACCATCGTAGGCTCGGCTGTATTTAACATTCTCTGTATTATTGGCGTGTGTGGGCTTTTTGCAGGACAGGTAAGAGCATTTAATGATTCCTAACAGTTCTCGCTTCATCCTGTGCCTTAGCTGTACTGTGAAATCAGCTGCTAGGTTTGCAACCTCGCCACAAATTTCTTGGGCTTTGTTCTTCTTAATAGGTCCCTGTGCTATTCCTCTTGCATTTTTGAAATGAAAAGCAGAACAGCAAATGTCAACTCAGGCGTTTTAAGCTGCCCAAGATATGTGGGTGGTCAAAGGAATAAAAGTTGGTTATTTAACACCTCCTCTTGGTAGCTATTGAAAAACGCGTTGTGACGTTTGTATCTGGTTCTTTTAGACCAAAGGAGCTGGGAAATGTCTGTGCCTCTGGCTGGTAAAAATGCACTTGGGTGAGCCATGCAAGATGCCTCTGAAAGAACGATGACACTTCTGGAGCATCATAAAAGATGCTGCTTTTGTGCAAGATAGTTTCAGATGCGCGTGCTGAGCTGGTGCAACGTTGTTGGTGACTGGCATGATTTATGAAGTTGTATGAGAAAGATACAGCCTTTGCTTGTAGTTTATTGCATTATTTATGTCCAGAATCACAGAATGGTTTATGTGGGAAGGGACCTCTGGAGGTCTCTGATCCAAAGCCCTCACCACCCCAACCCCCCCAGCCCAAAGCAGGGCTGATTTCAAAGTTGGATCAGGTTGCTCAGGGCCTTGTCCAGTCAGGTTTTGAATGCTTCCAAGGATACCCCAGCTTTTCTCCTCGCTAGCAGTAAGGCTATCCGTTCCTAGTGTAATTCTGACTGTTCTCCAGCATGTCAAGCTACTTACGACAACATAAGCTATTCATCTGAAATTAAAGTAATTAAGTTGTGAGATACGAGCTGCTGTCTGAATTGCAAACATGATTGACTGTATAATTAAATATCTCAATCTGCATTCACCTTAGCGCTTGCCAACCTGCCCAGTATTTTTTCAATCTCATAAAATGTTCTTTGCGATGTTACTGTGCAGACTGACTTGTAAAGAGGAGAAGCAGGATAACATTATCAATACAGGGCAACAGGATAACTAGAAGAACTTAAGAGAAGGGGCCTGTATAACTTGGTCAGTATGAGAAAAGATGCAGAGGTCGGCCTTTCCTGGAAAAGTTTGTAATCCGATTTTATTTGCAATAGCAATGAACTTTTTCAGGATGAAGGTGAACATTTTCACTACGGGGAGGCTTCAGGAAAAGCCCACAGTGGTACTTTTTAGCCACCTAAGCTCCCTTGATTTGCATGGGAACATGCAGCGGGAAGGTACACATGCTCAATATGTTAGTGGTTCTACTGTAACTCTTACTGTGAAAACCCAATTGATTCAGGCCAATTTTTAATGACCAAAGCTTTCGCGGGGCATGAAGCTGTGTTTCCCAGAGGTGTTCTCCTGTAATCTAATCTGACTTTTTGCTCAGGTTGCTTTTTTCAAGCAAATGACGATGATTAACTGTTTAGCACGATGGCAGAGGAGCTAATTCTTCTGACTTTTACTCTCCACGGTACTGATTGCATGCCTTAAACCTGCTAAAAAAATAGCTAGAAATCACAGCTTTCAGTGGAAAAGATTCGCTAGAGTTTGAGGGTTGACACAGAATGTCAGTCTTCTCGAGAGACCGTTTGCAGGTGGGAGATGTTTGTTTCTGAAGGATATAACACAGCCAAAATGCTCTCATAAATGCCTTCAGCCTTCCAGGTGTGGCAGCTTTCGGAAGTTCAAAGGGGGGATTGACCGCTTTAAGGCATCCTAAGCGTGGTCTGCGAGTCTCTTTCAAGCCAAGAATTGAGATTTGTCCTGATTTGTCCCAATTTTGTTCTCCCTGACTCTGCTAGCCATTTGCGTGTGGTTTCGTCAAGTCACTTACCCTCTGTTTGCTGCAGCTTAAGCCACAGAGGGTGGGTGAGAACTGGAATGATTGACGTCGCTGCGTGGAATCATGATTTAAATGAGCAAGTAGGATACCTCAGTTCAAATAATTCCAATATTCTAGATAAAACTCTGTTTTGATTTGTGCTTTTCATTTTTTTCCCAATCCTAATCCTTCACCAAGAAGTCATTCGCTTTTACTGGTGTTGATTAATCTTTTGTTTTGTGTTAGTATTAATAGAAATTTGGGTTTATTATCCATAATGTCTCTATAGATGCACTAACATAGGTGCTAAATTTGGTTGGCGGTTGGATTTCAGTTCTGCTGGGGACCTGGATCTCAGTTTCGAGTTGCCTTGTAATGGGCCAGGTGAGCCTGGAGGCAGGCCCTCGGTCTAAGCTGCTTGCCGTGCTCCAGCTCACTTAGAGCCAGATTTTCTCTTTTGAGCTCAGACCTGTGGAGTCAGCAGCTGGAGTCCTCTGATTTTCAGATGAGACCAGTGAGTCAATGGGCAGGCATTTACCAGCCGAACTTTGCTGTCTTCTGAGCCTCCCCTAGGCTGCTCAGGACACAGACCTGTTTTCTGGGACTCCTGCCCTGGAAAGCGGCATTCAGGCATCTTGGTTCAAGGCTGGAAGGCTTTTGGGTTTGTCAGGTGGGAGAAGCAGAGAATTAAGCCTGCGCCTGTGGCGGGTTCAAGCCGATGATGCTCATGTGGGCTTCGTGTTCATCAAAAACAA